TGACTGCCTCACTTTAAACATGACAAAGTGATCCAAGTCGACCAGTCTGGCGATGTAATCTGATTACATACAGAGTGATACTAAATTCAGTCAGTTCTTATGTGTACCACGAACACTAATAACAGTCAGTAGCAGCCTCCTGACAACGATGTCTAATCAGGTGACTGCAGTTCACTATAAACTGATAAAAGTCAGCAGCAGCCAACCTAATCAACGATGACACGATCAGGTCCTTACAGTTCAGCCACTAACACTGATAACAGTCAGCAGCAGCCAACCTAATCAACGATGACACGATCAGGTCCTCACAGTTCAGCCACTAACACTGATAACAGTCAGCAGCAGCCAACCTAATCAATGATGACACGATCAGGTCCTCACAGTTCAGCCACTAACACTGATAACAGTCAGCAGCAACCTAATCAACGATGACACGATCAGGTCCTCACAGTTCAGCCACTAACACTGATAACAGTCAGCAGCAGCCAACCTAATCAATGATGACACGATCAGGTCCTCACAGTTCAGCCACTAACACTGATAACAGTCAGCAGCAGCCAACCTAATCAATGATGACACGATCAGGTCCTTACAGTTCAGCCACTAACACTGATAACAGTCAGCAGCAGCCAACCTAATCAATGATGACACGATCAGGTCCTTACAGTTCAGCCACTAACACTGATAACAGGCAGCAGCCAACCTAATCAATGATGACACGATCAGGTCCTTACAGTTCAGCCACTAACACTGATAACAGTCAGCAGCAGCCAACCTAATCAATGATGACACGATCAGGTCCTTACAGTTCAGCCACTAACACTGATAACAGTCAGCAGCAGCCAACCTAATCAATGATGACACGATCAGGTCCTTACAGTTCAGCCACTAACACTGATAACAGGCAACCTAATCAATGATGACACGATCAGGTCCTTACAGTTCAGCCACTAACACTGATAACAGGCAACCTAATCAATGATGACACGATCAGGTCCTTACAGTTCAGCCACTAACACTGATAACAGGCAACCTAATCAATGATGACACGATCAGGTCCTTACAGTTCAGCCACTAACACTGATAACAGGCAACCTAATCAATGATGACATGATCAGGTCCTTACAGTTCAGCCACTAACACTGATAACAGGCAGCAGCACCAACCTAATCAATGATGACACGATCAGGTCCTTACAGTTCAGCCACTAACACTGATAACAGGCAACCTAATCAATGATGACACGATCAGGTCCTCACAGTTCAGCCACTAACACTGATAACAGGCAACCTAATCAACGATGACACGATCAGGTCCTCACAGTTCAGCCACTAACTCTGATAACAGTCAGCAGCAGCCAACCTAATCAACGATGACACGATCAGGTCCTCACAGTTCAGCCACTAACACTGATAACAGTCAGCAGCAGCCAACCTAATCAATGATGACACGATCAGGTCCTTACAGTTCAGCCACAACTTACCGCCCGACTTCTGTCGATCATAGTGGCAAATAACATGTTCTTGGGCTCTCAACGCCATGTCTCCACAAAATATATGCAACGGGAGCATTTCGACTCAAACAAATTCTAATAAACAAGCTAAACTTTCACTGGACTAAAATGAAAGACATAATTACTGTTAAAAATTCAGACATCTGGACATGTGTCCACCCTATTTCAACGAACAAGAGACACTAACTGGACAAGCATGGTTTCCCTCTGTGACTTGAGTGTTTCAGTGTCAGTCAGTCAGAGACTTAGGTGCTTCAGTGTCAGTCAGTGTGTGACTTATGTGCTTCAACTACTAACAGGGTCATCATTGTCAGTCAGTCTGTGACTTGGGTGCTTAAGTGTCAGTCAGTTTGTGACTTGGGTGCTTCAGTGTCAGTCACCTGGGTGCATTCATCATGGAAAAATTCATTTGTTTCATGTCTACATGTGACACTGTATGTGTGTGTGTGCACATGCTGGTGATACCAGTAAAATCTTGTGGTGAGGATGGGTCGGTGCATGTGTGCGTGGGGGGAGATAAAATGGTAAACAACAAATAATTCTAACAATGTCTACACTACACAAATGTAGCATCAGGATCTCATTTTCCCTTTACAATCTACATGAGTCCATCCACAGCTTCACAATCTAGGTGGGTTACCCATAGCTTCACAATCTAGGTGGGTTACCCATAGCTTCACAATCTAGGTGGGTTACCCATAGCTTCACAATCTAGGTGGGTTACCCACAGCTACACAATCTAGGTGGGTCACCCATAGCTTCACAATCTAGGTGGGTCACCCACAGCTTCACAATCTAGGTGGCTTACCCACAGCTTCACAATCTAGGTGGGTTACCCACAGCTTCCCAATCTAGGTGGGTTAACCACAGCTTCACAATCTAGGTGGGTTACCCACAGCTTCACAATCTAGGTGGGTTACGCACAGCTTCACAATCTAGGTGGGTGACCCATAGCTTCACAATCTAGGTGGGTCACCCAAAGCTTCATAAACCCAGACTATAAAATCTCCTGTAGATTCTTTGGGAAAAAAAAAAAACACAGCAGACTGGTAGCACATCCAGCAGACAGGTAGCATATCCAGCAGTCTGGTAGCACATCCAGCAGACTGGTAGCATATCCAGCAGACTAGTAGCACATCCAGCAGACTGGTAGCACATCCAGCAGACTGGTAGCACAGCCAGCAGACTGGTAGCAGCAGACTGGTAGCATATCCAGCAGACTAGAAGCACAGCCAGCAGACTGGTAGCAGCAGACTGGCAGCACATCCAGCAGACTGGTAGCACATCCAGCAGACTGGTAGCACATCCAGCAGACTGGTAGCACATCCAGCAGACTGGTAGCACATCCAGCAGACTTGTAGCACATCCAGCAGACTGGTAGCATATCCAGCAGACTGGTAGCACAGCCAGCAGTCTGGTAGCACATCCAGCAAAACTTTCATATCAAAAACATTTACAAATCACTATGGAAACTATGGGCAGAAGAAGAGAGCTTGTGGATTGCATGAGGCAACACACAGGAACTAATCAACTATCAGGTTCCTGTCCATGGCATGCTTGTATGAGATCTCTGGAGTTGATGCACAAGTTGATTACAGAGATCAAGGGTCAGCTGATGTGTGTAATATCACACAATGAATGAGACAGAAATACAGCTGGGCCGGTCATCTCATTTAAAACAGTAAACAAGTCATGGGAGTCAGCAAAACAGCTGCTGCAGGTATATTCAGATGGTATATTTTACCAGCATTCAGTGAAGGAATCCAGCTGGACAATGTCAATTGCACAATATCAAATAGTTACAGTGAAGACAAAAGACATAAGCAGGCAGCAAGTATTGCATATCAGACACAGATTTCAACAATTACAACAGTGAAGCCACAATGTTCTATTACATCTGAAGACATGATGTTTATCTACACAGCTGAAGCCATCACATTCATCAACAGTTGAAGCCATGATGTTCATCTCCAGCAGAAGCCATGATGTTCATCTACATCTGAAGACATGACATTTATTTACCGCTGAAGCCATCATCCACAGCTGAGGTCATGATGGTCATCTATAGATGAAGCCATCATGTTCATGTACTGGTGAAGCCGTAATTTTCATCTACAGCTGAAGCTGTGATGTTCATTTACACCCGAAACCATGATGTTCATATACAGCCATTATTTTCATCTACAGCCATGATGTTCATCTACAGCCATGATATTCATCTACAGTAGAAGCCATGATGTTCACTACAGCAGAAGCCATGATGTTTATCTGCAGCCAGATGTTTATCTACAGCTATGATGTTTATCTACAGCCATGATGTTTATCTACAGCCATGTCGTTCAAAAAGGAGCTAAGGTCACGTTCATCTACAGCTGAAACCATGATATGCATCTACAGCTGAAACCATGCTATGCATCTCCAGCTGAAACCATGATATGCATCTACAGCTGAAACCATGATATGCATCTCCAGCTGAAACCATGAAATGCATCTACAGCTGAAACCATGATATGCATCTCCATCTGAAACCATGCTTTTCAGCAACAGCTATGATGTTTACCTACAGCAGAAGTCATGACTCTGAAATGTGTCAAAAGCTCATGGGACATGGCTGAACATGATCACCGAAACTGGTAGAGATTGATGTCTAAACATTTACTGCTCTCACTGTCTACCTGCACATGGCAGCTGGCACTGACAAACTCAATGAGTGTACCCACATGGCAGCTGGCACTGACAAACTCAATGAGTGTACCCACATGGCAGCTGGCACTGACAAACTCAGTGAGTGTACCCACATGGCAGCTGGCACTGACAAACTCAGTGAGTGTACCCACATGGCAGCTGGCACTGACAAACTCAGTGAGTGTACCCACATGGCAGCTGGCACTGACAAACTCAATGAGTGTACCCACATGGCAGCTGGCACTGACAAACTCAATGAGTGTACCCACATGGCAGCTGGCACTGACAAACTCAATGAGTGTACCCACATGGCAGCTGGCACTGACAAACTCAATGAGTGTACCCACATGGCAGCTGGCACTGACAAACTCAATGAGTGTACCCACATGCCAGCTGGCACTGACAAACTCAGTGAGTGTAACCACATGGCAGCTGGCACTGACAAACTCAATTAGTGTACCCACATGGCAGCTGGCACTGAAAAACTCAATGAGTGTACCTACATGGCAGCTGGCACTGACAAACTCAATGAGTGTACCCACATGGCAGCTGGCACTGACAAACTCAATGAGTGTACCCACATGGCAGCTGGCACTGACAAACTCAATGAGTGTACCCACACGGCAGCTGGCACTGACAAACTCAGTGAGTGTACCCACATGGCAGCTGGCACTGACAAACTCAATGAGTGTACCCACATGGCAGCTGGCACTGACAAACTCAGTGAGTGTACCCACATGGCAGCTGGCACTGACAAACTCAATAAGTGTAACACACATGGCAGCTGGCACTGACAAACTCAATGAGTGTACCCACATGCCAGCTGGCACTGACAAACTCAATGAGTGCACCTACATGGCAGCTGGCACTGACAAACTCAATGAGTGTACCCACATGGCAGATGGCACTGACAAACTCAATGAGTGTACCCACATGGCAGCTGGCACTGATGAACTCAATGAGTGTACCCACATGCCAGCGGGCACTGAAAAACTCAATGAGTGTACCCACATGCCAGCTGGCACTGACAAACTCAATGAGTGTACCCACATGGCAGCTGGCACTGACAAACTTAATGAGTGTACCAACATGGCAGCTGGCACTGACAAACTTAATGAGTGTACCCACATGGCAGCTGGTACTGACAAACTCAATGAGTGTACCCACATGGCAGCTGGCACTGACAAACTCAATGAGTGTACCCACATGGCAGCTGGCACTGACAAACTCAGTGAGTGTACCCACATGGCAGCTGGCACTGACGAACTCAATGAGTGTACCCACATGGCAGCTGGCACTGACGAACTCAATGAGTGTACCCACATGGCAGCTGGCACTGACGAACTCAATGAGTGTACCCTCATGCCAGCTGGCACTGACAAACTCAATGAGTGTACCCACATGGCAGCTGGCACTGACGAACTCAATGAGTGTACCCTCATGCCAGCTGGCACTGACAAACTCAATGAGTGTACCCACATGGCAGCTGGCACTGACAAACTCAATGAGTGTATCCACATGCCAGTGAGGAACACGTCAAATATTGTAAACACATGTTGGACACAGTGTGGTTGATGTGTGTGGATATTGTAAACACATGTTGGACACAGTGTGGTTGATGTGTGTGGATATTGTAAACACATGTTGGACACAGTGTGGTTGATGTGTGTGGATATTGTAAACACATGTTGGACACAGTGTGGTTGATGTGTGTGGATATTGTAAACAAATGTTGGACACAGTGTGGTTGATGTGTGTGGATATTGTAAACACATGTTGGACACAGTGTGGTTGATGTGTGTGGATATTGTAAACACATGTTGGACACAGTGTGGTTAATGTGTGTGCAGTTGGACACAGTGTGGTTGATGTGTGTGGAGTTGGACACAGTGTGGTTGATGTGTGTGCAGTTGGACACAGTGTGGTTGATGCGTGTGGAATTGGACAGTGTGGTTGATGCGTGTGGAATTGGACACAGTGTGGTTGATGTGTGTGCAGTTGGACACAGTGTGGTTGATGTGTGTGCAGTTGGACACAGTGTGGTTGATGCGTGTGGAGTTGGACACAGTGTGGTGGATGCATGTGGAGTGAACATTCAATATGTAGTGGTGCTTGTCCACAGATAGCACTGAGTGAACATGCCAGCAGAACTAGGCACAGTGTGTGGAATGTTTGAAGTCATCAAATGTGAAAACATAAACAAAAGCATGCACACACACACAAACCCACACACTCAATCATTCACATGCATGCATGCACGCACACACACATGAAAGTTTTCAGTCTGGGGTCAGGACATTATCCAGACCTGGACAAGAATTAGAGAAACCATGACTGGAATGCAAATTTAAAAAACAAATTGACATAATAAAGAAAATGTGACCATGAGTAATTCATCTGCTGGCAAGACAGTGTCGATATTAAAAATAAAATGGTTGCACACAAAAAGTTGAAAAGCAGAGACAAGAAATCACAACCAGTTCCCTACATTAAAACATACAACTAAACAGGTCTATGTAGAAGTTGTCCTCTGTCCTGACACATCCAGCGTTAATCTGATTTATTTTGTGGCCAACTTTGTTTGTAAAAATTTGGAGGCCACTTTCTGGGCATGTTTTTTCAGTAGAGCCTGTCCTCCATGTTTGTTCCATTCTTCCTCAAATTCATTCTCCAAAATCTCTGCTCCCTTTTTCTGGGTGAGGCCAGTTTCATCCAGGGATAGTTCACACATCTGCAGATCATCAACTCCTGCAAGATACAAACAATCATACATGTAGTCAACAGTCTGTACCAAACAATTAGACATGTAGTCAACAGTCAGTACCTAACAATTAGACATGTAGTCAACAGTCAGTACCTAACAATTAGACATGTAGTCAACAGTCAGTACCTAACAATTAGACATGTAGTCAACAGTCAGTACCTAACAATTAGTCATGTAGTCAACAGTCAGTACCTAACAATTAGGCATGTAGTCAACAGTCAGTACCTAACAATTAGGCATGTAGTCAACAGTCAGTACCTAACAATTAGGCATGTAGTCAACAGTCAGTACCTAACAATTAGACATGTAGTCAACAGTCAGTACCTAACAATTAGGCATGTAGTCAACAGTCAGTACCTAACAATTAGGCATGTAGTCAACAGTCAGTACCTAACAATTAGGCATGTAGTCAACAGTCAGTACCTAACAATTAGACATGTAGTCAACAGTCAGTACCTAACAATTAGGCATGTAGTCAACAGTCAGTACCTAACAATTAGACATGGAGTCAACAGTCAGTACCTAACAATTAGACATGTAGTCAACAGTCAGTACCTAACAATTAGACATGTAGTCAACAGTCAGCTCCAAACAATTATAAATGTAGTCAACAGTCAGCACCAAACAATTAGACATGGAGTCAACAGTCAACACCAAACAAACAAACATGTGGTCAACAGTCACCTTCACACAATCAGACACATAGTCAACTGAGTCTACAACTGACACCAGACAGACATATAATCAGCAGTCAGATCCAAACAATCAGACATATAGTCAACAATCAGCTTCAAACAATCAGACATATAGTCAACATCCAGCTCCAAATAATCAAACATGTAGTCAACAGTCAGCTCCATATATTTAGGCATGTGGTCAACAGTCAGCTCCAGATATTTAGACATGTGGTCAACAGTCAGCTCCAGATATTTAGACATGTGGTCAACAGTCAGCTCCAGATATTTAGACATGTAGTCAACAGTGAGCTCTAGATATTTAGACACGTAGTCAACAATCAGCTTCAGATATTTAGACATGTAGTCAACAATCAGCTCCAGATATTTAGACATGTAGTCAACAGTCAGCTCCAGATATTTAAACATGTGGTCAACAGTCAGTTCCAGATATTTAGACATGTGGTCAACAGTCAGCTCCAGATATTTAGACATGTGGTCAACAATCAGCTCTAGATATTTAGACATGTAGTCAACAGTCAGCTCTAGATATTTAGACATGTGGTCAACAATCAGCTCCAGATATTTAGACATGTGGTCAACAGTCAGCTCTAGATATTTAGACATGTGGTCAACAGTCAGCTCCAGATATTTAGACATGTGGTCAAAAATCAGCTCCAGATATTTAGACATGTGGTCAACAGTCAGCTCTAGATATTTAGACATGTGGTCAACAGTCAGCTCTAGATATTTAGACATGTGGTCAACAGTCAGCTCCAGATATTTAGACATGTGGTCAACAGTCAGCTCCAGATATTTAGACACGTAGTCAACAATCAGCTCCAGATATTTAGACATGTAGTCAACAATGAGCTCCAGATATTTAGACATGTGGTCAACAATCAGCTCTAGATATTTAGACATGTGGTCAACAGTCAGCTCTAGATATTTAGACATGTGGTCAACAGTCAGCTCCAGATATTTAGACATGTGGTCAACAATCAGCTCTAGATATTTAGACATGTGGTCAACAATCAGCTCTAGATATTTAGACATGTGGTCAACAGTCAGCTCCATATATTTAGATATGTGGTCAACAATCAGCTCTAGATATTTAGACATGTGGTCAACAGTCAGCTCCAGATATTTAGACATGTGGTCAACAATCAGCTCTAGATATTTAGACATGTGGTCAACAGTCAGCTCTAGATATTTAGACATGTGGTCAACAGTCAGCTCCAGATATTTAGACATGTGGTCAACAATCAGCTCTAGATATTTAGACATGTGGTCAACAGTCAGCTCCATATATTTAGACATGTAGTCAACAATCAGCTCCAGATATTTAGACATGTGGTCAACAATCAGCTCCAGCCAATGAGACATGTAGTCAACAGTCGGCACCAAACAATCAGACATGTAGTAGTCAGTATAGGACCCTTTTTATACAAGTAGCACACACGGTATATGATGCTAACATGTATTCATCCCTGCCTACTTCTGTATATGTATTATTATACATTTTATTTGTTGCCTACTTTTTATATATGTATTACTCCCTGCCTACTTTTGTTACACATATTATTTTCTGCCTACTTTTGTTATATGTACTATTCCCTGCAAACTTCAGTTACATATATTATTTTATGCCTACTTTTGTTATATGTACTATTCCCTGCCAACTTCAGTTACACATATTATTTTATGCCTACTTTTGTTATACGTATTATTCCACGACCACTTCTCTTATGTGTATTACTCCCTGCCTACTTCTGTTACAACATGTATTACCTTCTGCCTACTTCTTTTACAACATGTATTACCTCCTGTCTAATTCTGTTACAACATGTATTACTTCCTGGCTACTTCTGTTACAACATGTATTACTTCCTGGCTACTTCTGTTACAACATGTATTACTTCCTGCCTACTTCTGTTACAACATGTATTACTTCCTGGCTACTTCTGTTACAACATGTATTACTTCCTGGCTACTTCTGCTATAACATGTATTACTTCCTGTCTACTTCTGATATAACATGTATTACTTCCTGGCTACTTCTGCTATAATATGTATTACTTCTGCTATAACATGTATTACTTCCTGGCTACTTCTGCTATAACATGTATTACTTCCTGGCTACTTCTGCTATAACATGTATTACTTCCTGGCTACTTCTGCTATAATATGTATTACTTCCTGGCTACTTTTGCTATAACATGTATTACTTCCTGGCTACTTCTGCTATAACACGTATTACTTCCTGGCTACTTCTGCTATAATATGTATTACTTCTGCTATAACATGTATTACTTCCTGCCTACTTCTGCTATAACATGTATTACTTCCTGGCTACTTTTGCTATAACATGTATTACTTCTGCTATAACATGTATTACTTCCTGACTACTTCTGCTATAATATGTATTACTTCTGCTATAACATGTATTACTTCCTGGCTACTTCTGCTATAATATGTATTACTTCTGCTATAACATGTATTACTTCCTGGCTACTTCTGCTATAATATGTATTACTTCCTGGCTACTTCTGCTATAATATGTATTACTTCTGCTATAACATGCATTACTTCATGGCTACTTCTGCTATAACATGTATTACTTCTGCTATAACATGTATTACTTCCTGGCTACTTCTGCTATAATATGTATTACTTCTGCTATAACATGTATATCCTGTGAGCTATAACATGTATTACTTCCTGGCTACTTCTGCTATAATATGTATTACTTCTGCTATAATATGTATTACTTCTGCTATAATATGTATTACTAACTCCGTTAAAACATTATTACTTCCTGTGTACATATGTTACAACATGTATTATTTCCTGCCTACTTCTGCTATAACATGTATTACATCCTGTCTACATCTGTTACTACATAAATTACTTTCTGCATACATGTGTTACAACATGCACTTTTTCCTAGCTACTTCTGCTAAAATGTATTACTTCCTGCCTACTTTTGTTACCACATGTATTACTTCCTGCCAAATCTGTCAACAGTAAGACTGTCAGCTAGACAAGACATTAGCTAGACAAGACATCAGCTAGACAAGACATAAGCCA